CTTCAGCAGCCCATCTCACTGACTCACTGCACACACATGATCTTCTCACATGTCAGCACTGGACTGCAGTGTGCTGTATGATCGGCAGAAGCGCTCCTCTCTGCTCGTCGTCTTCCTCCAGCACGATGGACAGTGTTATCATGATGTTTGTCGTGCTCTCCATTGACACAGCACAATTAAAGGGGACATGACATGGATTTTTTAAATTATTTTAACATGTTCCTTGAGGTTTACGTATAATGTTAAGTGTTTTTTGCACACACAAAAAAACCCAAAAATAAATATGTAAAAATTATTATTTTCAACCCTCATTCTGACCCTCTGTCTAAAACGATCTGTTTTAAGGCTCGTCAGTAATCAGCCGCTGTTGTGATTGGCTAACATCATTGCATAGGAAACGGTATCAACGCCCATCCGCTATTGCATGTGAATTTTGACAACAAGATCAAAATAAAACGGTAATTTCCAGACAAAGCATTATGAAATCATGTACTTACGGTTTGTGATGCAGATCTAGTGCCGCTTCATCTTTGTGACTCTCCATGACACTGTGCCTCGTTTACAAAACAAAATCCCCTGACACGATCAATCACGCCATTAAAATAAACTATCCACTTGTTGCTTACGCTGGGCTCCTTCTGATATCTGTACAAAGACGTGACCGAGCTGTTTAAACCAATCACGTCAAAGCGTGATCAAGTGTCAGCCGTTAGCGACTGAACGCCAGTGGGCGGGGCCTCTGGTGAGAAGCAGACTATTGGTCGATGTCTTGCTCTGGAGGCGTGTTTATGCAAACGACTGCACACAGGTGACATCATCTTGCGCCTCAGATCGATTAAATAAGTGCTTTGTTTATAATGAGGAGGAGGTTTTAAGCTATGAAACCTGCAGGATGTTTTAATGGTACAAAAGATCAAGGCCAATTAGATTTCTCATGTCATGACCCCTTTAAATCTGACTAACCCTGACGCTCGTCTCTGTGGCGTGATCGTGTGCATACTAACCTGTTTCTGTGATGTCGCTCATGATGTAGCATGATCCAGGTGTGTCGTCCGGCCGGCCGGCTGCGTGCGGAGCATGATCATCATCATCATCATCATCATCATCATCAGAAGTGTGTGTCCGTTACTCTATTCTGTCTGTGTGTCGTTGGTAACAGGCTCTGCTCTCTTCTGTCTGTGCATCGAATCTCTCTCAGTCTGCTGTGAGTACAGTCAGGCATCGTGCAGCTCTGTGATTGTTTTGGGCTCGATCGCATGCACAGTTCCTCCTGCATCCGTGTGTCACGCGTGTCTCCTGCAGCTGATGATCAGAGGAGCGTGATCCCTCCGCTGATTACTGGACTGTTTCTGCTGGGATTATTGCTGATTGTTTCAATCGTCCTGCGCTCTGTCACTCTGGAGTTTGATTGTCAATCACTCGATATCTTCTTTGAATGCACATTGTATTTTTTTTATTTTCACCAATTTAGTTTTGCTCATTAGAGTCAGATTTGCCTAATAATAAATGGTGATGGGTGTTAGGAGAAAACAACAGATCTTTCTGTCAAATCTTAAAACGTACAAATATTATTTTCGAAAATAGATACAATAATGAGGTTTAAAAATATATATATAGATGTTAAAAGGTGAAGTTATGTGCTATATTGTCCTATTGTATCTCCAAATTAGACTAGACAGCAGGTTATCTGAGCAACTAGTCAACTGGTCTGGTGTGTTAAAGTAGAGCTGGTTATGGTTTAAGGCTGGTTTACTAGACATGCGTGTTTATTGCTGAAAACGGTCCTCATAAAACTACACGTAACTGGAACAGTTCACACAGAAACATCTGCATAAGTAACTAGTCGACCTCGTTAGCCCACCAGTCAGTTGCTGGGTTATTACAGTTAACACACTAAAACCATTAAAAAAAACATTGTTACTTGAAATAAAATAAACGTTAACTGAAATAAAATATATTTTTTTAATTATTTCCACAAGTTTCCAAGCAAGTTTTATTGTTTTAATTTAGTTTAACTTGTACTAAAATAACTAAAACTGAAATTAAAATGTACAAAAACTGTACAGACATAAAACAAAAACTACTAAAAATGAAAAAGAGCGCCACAATTTTAACAAAATCTAAATGAAAACCGAAAATATGAAAATAAAAACTGATTGAAATATGAATAAAACGTAGTATCTCAATTATACTAATATAACACTGGTCACTTGTTGGTAACTAGTAGAGCGTCCCGACTCTGTAGCAGCGTTTTATCACTGATATCTATATTCCTGTAGTGCTCATGTGAATCATTAGACGGTGTTTGTTCGTTTATTTGCTCTGGTGTTGATTGTTGAATTGCAGATGGTGTTTTGTGTGATTGTGAACAAGCTCTTTAGCGTCCTCTGCTGGACACTGACACACTAACACATCATGCGCAGTGCCCCAAAACCCCTCTCCAGCACCCTCAGAAGTGCACACTGTGTAGGGCGGCGTGTGGATGTGTTCCACTGGTGTACAGCAGGAGGCGCTGCAGTGCTTCACATGAGCATTAATGCATCGTGATGCCTGTGTGTGTGTGTGTGAGAGAGAGAGAGAGTGTTTGTGAGAGAGAGAGTGTGTGTGAGTTTGTGAGAGAGAGAGAGAGAGAGAGAGAGTGTGTGTGCGAGAGAGTGTGTGTGTGAGTTTGTGAGAGCGTGAGAGAGAGAGAGTGTGTGTGTGTGAGTTTGTGAGAGCGAGAGAGAGAGAGAGAGTGTGTGTGAGAGAGTGTGTGTGTGAGTTTGTGAGAGAGAGAGAGTGTGTGTGTGCGAGCGCGTGCTGGATAAACTCTAACCTCTCTACTTCTGCTTCAGACGGTCCTGATGAAGAGGAAATGTCAGGAACATCTGTGAGTATCAGCAGAAAATCACTCTGACGTCACTGACACTCATGAATGACACACAACCAGTCATAAAGGTCAATTTATTGAAATTAGGATTTATACATCATCTGAAAGCTGAATAAATAATCTTTCCATTGATGTATGGTTTGTTAGGATCGGACAATATTTGAAAATCTGGAATCTGAGGGTGCAAAAAAATCTAAATATTGAGAAAATCATCTTTAAAGTTGTTCAAATGAAGTTCTTAGCAATGCATATTACTAATCAAACATTAAGTTTTGATATATTTACGGTAGGAAACATACAAAATATCTTCATGGAACATGATCTTTACTTAATATCCTAATGATTTTTGGCACAAAAGAAAAATCTATAATTTTGACCCATACAATGTATTGTTGGCTATTGCTACAAATATACCTGTGCTGCTTAAGACTGCTTTTGTGCTGCAGGGACACATATGATTGTTCTCGTCTGCAGGGACAAATTAAGGGATGCCACTAACGAGCTTCAGAAGAAGAGTGCAGCGATTGAAGGGCTGGAGAACAAACACACTTCCAGCGGTGAGACTTACTGAGCATCATACATGAACGTGTGTGAGTGAGTGAGTGTGTGTGAGCGAGTGTGTGTGTGTGTGTGTGTGTGTGTGTGAGCGACAGCTGGA